AGGCTTACTCTAATTGTGCATGTCGGTTTTGATGGTGACTAGATACTGTGGTGATAGGTTCCTCAGAAATGCTGTGAGATAGTTAAACTTAGGATAAACTGATGTATTTCATATTATGAGCAGCTGGATGAGCCCTGAACATCATACCCAAGTGATTAATTTCTGAATAGTGGCGAAAAGAGAGGGGGATGCTTATAAATCAATGCTGGTTTTAATAAACTGGGAGCTTCTAGGTACTAAATCTGTGTGCATCTGATCTGAATTGCAATTACCTGTCAAAAATTCATCCATCATTGCAAGTTCCAGACAAACTTTCTGGCAGCAGATGTTTCAGGAAAGCTATTTCATATGGGAAATATATAGTTTGGTGTACAGTATTCCCAAGAACCAAAAGAAAAGTAGAAAACATTTGCTGACTAAAAGCAATATCTTTCATGTCATACCTAAGCCTGGTTCATTGGCAAATATAAATCAGCTACAATGCACTGAGTTCTGTCCAGGGACAGATGACGAGCGAGTTGAGAGTCTGTGGGTGAGAATTAAGGGGCAGGCTGGCAGGGGGGATACTGTTGTAGGTGTCTGTTACAGACCACCAGATCAGGGTGAGGAAGTTGTCGAGGCCTTCTACAGGCAACTGAGAGCGGCCTCACAGTCACAGGCCATGGTCATCGTGGGGGATTTTAACTTCCCTGATGTTTGCTGGAAGGACCACTCGGCAACCCAGCCACAGTCCAGGAGGTTCCTCCAGTGTATGGATGATAACTTCCTCCTGCAAATGGTGGATGAGCCAACCAGGAGAGGAGCGCTGCTGGGTCTCATCCTCACTAACAAGGAAGATCTGGTCGAAGCAGTAAGAGTTGAGGGCTGCCTTGGTTGCAGTGACCACAAGATGGTGGAATTCAGGATCTTGTGTGGTAGGACCAGTAGAATAGCAAGTAGAATTGCAACCCTGGACTTTAGCAGGGCAAACTTTGGCCTTTTCAAGCAATTGCTAGGGGAAATCCCATGGGCAAGGCTGTTTGAAGGTGAAGGGGCCCAAGATAATTGGTTAGCATTCAAGGACTGCTTTTTCTGAGCTCAAGATCGGAGCATCCCAACACGTAGGAAGTCAAGGAAGAGGGCCAGGAGACCTGCGTGGCTAAATAGGGAATTGCTGGGTATGCTCAAGTGGAAGAGGAGAGTTTACAGCTCCTCATGGAAGGAGGGGCTGGCCACTTGGGAGGAACACAAGGCTGCTGCTAGAGGATGTAGGAAGGCAGCTAGGATGACTAAGGCCTCCTTAGAATTAAACCTGGTGAGAAGGTTCAAGGACAGCAAAAAGAGCTTTTTCAAATACATGGCAGATAAAACTAACACCAGAGGCAATGTAGGCCCACTGATGAACGGGATGGGTGCCCTGGTGACAGAAGATACAGAGATGGCAGAGTTACTGAATGCCTTCTTTGTCTCTGTCTACTCTGCTGCAGGCAGTCCTGAAGAGCCCTGTACCCCTGAGACCTCAGATGAAGTCAGGTCAACGGAGCGGTTTGCCTTAGTCGATGAGGAATGGGTTAGAGATCAGTTGAGCAATCTGGACACCCATAAATCCATGGGTCCAGATGGGATGCACCCGCGGGTGCTGAGGGAACTGGCGGAAGTCATTGCTAGACCACTCTCCATCATCTTTACCAAGTCTTGGGAAACGGGAGAGGTGCCTGAGGACTGGAGGAAAGCAAATGTCACTCCAGTCTTCAAAAAGGGCAAGAAGGAGGACCCGGGTAACTATAGACCGGTCAGCCTCACCTCCATCCCTGGGAAAGTGATGGAACACCTTATCCTTGGTGCCATCTTAAGGCATATCAAGGATAAGAGGGTTATGAGGGGCAGTCAACATGGCTTCACCAAGGGGAAATAATGTTTGACCAATCTCTTAGCCTTTTATGAGGAAATAACACGGTGGATGAATGATGGCAGAGCGGTGGATGTGGTCTACCTTGACTTCAGCAAAGCATTTGACACAGTCTCCCACAGCATCCTCACAGCTAAATTGAGGAAGTGTGGACTGGATGATCAGGTAGTGAGGTGGACTGTGAACTGGCTGAAGGAGAAAAGCCAGAGAGTTGTAGTCTGTGGGGCGGAGTCTAGTTGGAGGCCTGTAACTAGTGGAGTGCCTCAAGGGTCAGTACTGGGACCAGTATTATTTAATATATTCATCAACGATTTAGATGAGGGAATTGAGTGTACTATCAGCAAGTTTGCTGATGACACTAAGCTGGGAGGAGTGACTGACACACCAGAAGGCTGTGCTGCCATCCAGCGAGACCTGGACAGGCTGGAGAGTTGGGCAGGGAATAACTTGATGAAATATAACAAGGGAAAGTATAGAGTCCTGCATCTGGGCAGGAACAACCCCACGTTCCAGTATAGGTTGGGGAATGACCTGTTAGAGAGCAGTGTAGGGGAAGAGGGACCTGGGGGTCCTAGTGGATGACAGGATGACCATGAGCCAACACTGGCCAAGAAGGCCAATGGCATCGTGGGGTGTATTAGAAGGGCGATGGTTAGTAGGTCGAGAGAGGTCCTCCTTCCCCTCTACTCTGCCCTGGTGAGACCCCATCTGGAATATTGTGTCCAGTTCTGGGCCCCTCAGTTCAAGAAGGACAGGGAGCTGCTGGAGAGAGTCCAGTGCAGGGCAACTAAAATGATTAAGGGAGTGGAGCATCTCCCTTATGAGGAAAGACTGAGGGAGCTGGGTCTCTAGAGAAGAGGAGACTGAGGGGTGACCTTATTAGTGTATATAAATATATAAAGGGGGAGTGTCACGAAGATGGAGCCAGGCTCTACTCAGTGGCAAACAATGATAGGACAAGAGGTAATGGGTACAAACTGGAGCACAAGAGGTTCCACTTAAACTTGAGAAGAAACTTCTTCTCAGTGAGGGTGACGGAACACTGGAACAGGCTGCCCAGGGAGGTTGTGGAGTCTCCTTCCCTGGAGACATTCAAAACCCGCCTGGACACATTCCTGTGTAACATTATCTAGGTGTTCCTGCTCCGGCAGGGGGATTGGACTAGATGATCTTTTGAGGTCCCTTCCAATCTCTAGCACACTGTGATACTGTGATAAATTGTAAATGTGAAACTCCAACATAAATCAGTCACTGAAATGCTACTCGTAATTCAGCTGATCTCACATAGATGTAGTAATTAATTCAATATTTGTGTATTTGTGAAAGCAATGGTATTTCTAATAATTTTAAATTTGGCATTGATAAATCCTGTCCTGAGGCTAGAAGACTGGTGTCTGCTTTTCCTAAAAAATACAGTGTGCCTTCACCAGCCAGGCGATGGGAAGAGCTAAGAGATGGCCCATAAAAACATATCATGCTCCCTCAGACCTGTGTTCAGCAGGTGAGGGGCTACCTGTGCAACCCCTTCTCTCTCATACCAAGGCAAGAAATGTATGACGCTGAAACTAGGTCAGGGAGGATAGTATCATTAATTCATGATAGAATACATGATGTAAGCATTCTGATTATTCTCCACACAGGATCCTAGCAAGTTCCTAAGTAACGTAAGTTAAGACATATTTACAAATATGTCTGTTATAACGTGGAATATCACAGGCGAGACATCTAAGTAACCTTAATTCCAACCTGTCATGAGATCATACAGAATAGATACACCTGTGATTTGAGTATTTCCAATCCCAAGGGTGTGTTAGATTTTGCTCCTCAATATCATGGCCCTTGCTTGTTTGAGATCTGTACAGCTCTCACAGCCAGGTATATCCACAGCTTCCATTCTCAGCTGGAGCTCGCTCTCCCAATTGCTCTCTCGTGATGACTGAGGCAATAAATACTGAAGGAAAAAAGAAAAAAAGAGTAAAATTTTTGCCTGTCTCTTAATATGGGTTTATTGAATTCCTGTCACAAGAGAAGGGACTGAATGTGGGCTATATGAAGGATTTAAATACAGCATACCTAAACTCCAGTTTTTCATCGACACCTGTTCCTCCATTTGATACATGACAGGTCCCTTCTCATGTGGCAAGAAGGCAATTGAATGAACATTTCTTTGCAGCTGTCAGTGGAATTGTCATCTAACACCACTGTTACTCATCTGAATGTGTACCTTGAAAATTACCTCTGAAGACAGGCTGGACACAGGATTAGAAGATTGCTATCCCAGCCAAATGATACCGCCAATGTTGTTCTACTGTCACCTCTATCAAACCCCTCTGTTCTGTTTGCCAATTATAATAGCAGAATCTATCACTCTCTCAAATTTTCATTATATCAGGAATTTACTTTGCACATTTTCTTCCTCTATGTGGTTCTTTAAAATCATATTTCATTAAATGCTGTTTCTATCATAATGGAGAGCAATTCACTTATAAAGTAACTGCTGACAGATGGATCCATTTATATATTATACATGGTGTGCTGGGCTTCTTATCTTGTCACCTCTGGCTGGTGTTTGAGAATTCATCTTTTGCATTAGTAGCTTAGAAAGTCTCAGCTTGAGACACTATATCAAGTGAGTTAATTTGAGCTCTGCTCTCAGGCTCCTATGAAACTGATGGCTGTCAAACATTTGGAGAAAACATCTTGGTTTGTCTTTTAAGTTGTAATGTGTCATTCTCAAAACTCCTCAAAGCAAACAAATGCAGAAGTTCTCACGGCTTCTTCCAAAGCACACTGAAATTAATAGAAGGACTCCTGTTGCCTGAGGAAGCTGCAAGTCAGACCATGGTTACCTTAAATACACTAATAGCATAATATACTGTGGATATTAGGTGCTTTCACAATGCAGTCCCCCTCCAGGTTAGACACACATTTTGCAGCTCTCCCTACTTCCAATTTTACTCTGTTGTCCCTATTTTTGTTATTTATCAGTGCATAATGTCACTGGAGTAACTTTTTATGTAGAATAATATTATTCAGAAAATTTGTACATATCACATGTTCACTATTCTCCTTCCTTTCCCTGTTATTTCTTTGTGCAGCATTAACTTGGAAGGATTGTGGATACTTTGTACAAATCATGTCTCCAGCCTGTGACAAGAGATTGTGTCCACTCCAGGGGGTTTACTGCCTCAGCACTGGCTCCTGTTACCAACTGTCCATTTCTGTCTGCCAAAGACACAGAGGACAACCAAAGCACAGAAAATAAATGGTCAGCAGCACATAGCAGCATAATACATGGGCTCTTGAAACTGGCACCACTTGCTAACCAGAGAAGAAATTCCATCTCTTCATTGTAAAGAGAGGTAGTAAGTAGGGAGTAATTTATAATGAGCCTTGAATGTGAGGATAAATAACTTTTGTCTAACTCACTAGAAAGGCTGAAGTCAGCAAAGTGCAAAATAAAGAGGTAAATAGCATAGAAAGTGTTCCTGGAAGGAAGTTTCATAATAAGCAGAGGGAAAGATAGTTTATATTAAGACCTGGACAACATCAAGAAATGCAAGTGGTGGGTGTGAGCCTAAATCCAAACCTTTCCTCTCTTTACTTTTAGGAAAGGCCGTGGTTTAGGAATATCAGAAGGAAAACTAACTACCAGGCTTAAAAGTAGCCAGAGGAACAAGCACTTCTAGCTGAATATGCCATCTTGGTTGTACATACCCCAACGGAGCCATCAGCAGCAAGGACAAGTGGAGCAGCACAGCATCGGTGCCCAGGGGTTGCAAGCTGGGACATGCTTTTCTGGAGTTTTGGATTCATAAATTGGTGTGACAGCACCACGGAACAGGCAGAGGGAACTGCTTTGAGGCTAAATGGTATGATCAAGAGTTGTATGTAGCAAGTCAATGTTTTCTTCTTCTCCTGGTGGGTAATTTGCTTCCTTGTGCTAACGATCCTGGCCTACTTAGTGATCAGCTGGACCTGTGTTTTCCCAAGTTGCTTGAGGGAGTGTTGTGAGGTGATTCATTATTTTAGAAATTGCCAGGGCTTATGCTGGAGACAGTGAGGTGCCAGCACTAATAAAACAATGTCTAGCTCCTTGATTAGAAGCAAATTATTTGAAGCTGGAATTTTTCCCAATTGGTGTTTTTAATTTAATTTTCCATCAGAAAGATTATTCAGAAATCTATGACAGCTACTTTAATCATGCGTTCCTGCAGCTTTAAAAATTAAACTTATTCTAAGTACAGGCAACATATATTTCAGGCCTAGCTACATAATATATTTTAACATTGCTAAGGCATCTGTGACCTCAGCACAGAAATACCATGAGAGGGAGTGGCAGAAGCCAGTTAGAGAAGGACAGTAGTTCTAAAGCTTAAAACAGACTCATTAAAATGTATTTTTCTAAGTTTGACAATATAATGAGAACCACCTCTTGCTCCGTTTCCTGAAAGCAGTGATGAGATTATTTAGAGCTCAGGTTCATTGTTTATTAATATTTTTTTTATCAAGAATGATGGAAAATGTCTAACATGGTAACTATGAAGGTATGCAAAGTCTCTTTATGACCATGAACACTTAGTGTGGGATAAAATCACCCTTAAACAGCAAAGTCCCCTATTATTGCACATATACAGTGGGTCCTTTTAGCTATTACTTCATACATGTCCACCACAATGAAATACCTACTTTAGGTACATCAAACAAACCTAATCAAAATATCAGCCCCAATACTAAGTGACCATATTTCTGTCATCTTTCATTGTATACTGTAAGTTTTCTTTCATTAAAGAGAACAAATGGGATACTTGAATCATGCAAAGGAATGGCAGCTGTACCACCTCTTTAAACTATCTCTTTGTATCTACTGAAAGCAATTTAATCTGGCTGCTCTTCCTCCCCCATGCAACAAAAAGACAAAATGCTCAGTTTGCATTACATTAGCCTTCAAGTATTGTTAAAGATAAATAATGTTCCCTGCAGGTTTACATTGCGGATTAAGTGTCTGTTCTGAGTAGCTCTAGAAATCACTTAAATGAAAGGAGACACAGCCTTTAGCTCTTCTTCTGGGTCTTCATTTCAGACTATGATTTTTGTATAGCACTTCTGTTTCATCTATGCAGCACTAGGTCACAGTAGTGGTGCTTAAGTATGTTTGAGAACAAAACATAAAATGTTTTCAGAAAATGTCTTCCCCTGCCCTTCCCCTTTCTATTGTCTTAATACAAAGATGATGATTTTTCTCCACAATCTCACAATTTTGAGGCTGATGAACTATACTTCAAATGAACTTTACTGTTTTGAAGCTCAACTAAAAGTTCTCAGCTCTCCATAGGAGATTCATCACATAGTCTGTGATGAGACACCTCATTGATAATGACCTGATGCATGCAAGACTCGATGAATGATTCTTGAAGGGAGAATTGTCTCCTCCTACCTTTGGAAAACATTTTCAAAGCACTCCAGGACTCATTATTATGAAAATGACTCTGAGGTACAATTTAACACTGTCATTACTGGATTTCAGTGCCAAATAACCTGTGGCCATTGCAAGCTGTTGTCCATCTATGATGTCTGAAAGAGATTAAATTGCTGTCCTAAAGGCAAGATGTAAATGCTGATTCCTAAGTGTAGAGGTCTGAAAATCCAATTAAGATATTCCCATTTTTCCTACACAGAAGATACCATAAAGCCATTTCATTTATTTTTAGGATAGGTTCTACTTTGAAAGTGATTTGGCCTAATGTGTAGTCTTTCCAGATTTCCCAACTTTATCAGTAGCTAACCAAAGATGAAAAGGAAGAAAATGTTGCCTTCCATACTACTTAACTAGAACAGGCAGCAGTTTGGGGTTTTTATCTGGTTGGGGTTTTTTTTGTAGTTTTGTTTTGTTTACATATGTAATACTTTTATCCTTATATTCTTGAGACTTCTCCAGAAATTGAGGTGGCTGAGGACTACTTCCAAATCTTTCACTCCAAGCTGGTTTTTACATGTCTTTTTTTTTAATTTTCCCCTGCCTTTCCTTGGTTTTAGGTGTTTTGTTTGAATTGACACTGTTTTGCTTCACATTATGCCTAATATTATGCCTAAATAAACTTTTGATATTAACACCTGAGTACAAAAAATCAAAAATAAGAAACTGTTCCACTTGACTCAAAGCATTATACCAGACTGTTGAGATAGTCATGGATACCTCAGCTGTAGCAATTAGGTGCTGATAATTATGCATGCTATGAAAGATAAGGTCCTTTCCAATCCTAAATATTCTATGATTCTATGATTTCAAAACTGTATTTCTTCTCTATTAGGGCAGTGTAGTGTTTGACACTGCCTGTTTCATTGAGCTTAGGCTGCTGTTAGGGAACATGAGTCATACAGAAATGAGCACAGCAGTTAAAAACAAAAAAAAAAACAGAGAAAAAAATAAAAGAAATGATAAATACTATGTAAGAATACTTTCCAGCCTACTTGGAAACAGAAAACAGAATATGGTTTAGTTTTACAGCAAATGAGAGTTGGTCTTTTCGTCTTTGCGTAAATATAGGTCTGATATAGCATAGCAAGGTAATAACTAGCTCTGACTTTAGAAAATAATATTTATATCATGCATTTTTCTGTTTTGTTTTGAATTGAAACTGTGTCATTTCTACTGGAAGATTTTCTTTTTCTTTCACTATTTCAAGTCCACAGGCAAACCCCAGCAATGCTGAGTGTGTCACACTGCCAGGAGGGATTTACACAATTAGAAGGGGAAATGGATACCTTTCTTCTTTCTTTTCCATATTTGCAGCAGTTGGTGGTGCACATGCCAGAAGCTTCTGGTTGGGTAAGACATTAATCTCTTCCTTCATCAGGCAAAACAATGGTGATGGACTTTAAGCTCAAACAGAGTAAAGCATATTCAGCCACGCACCATCCAAACCAACCCTCTATCCCAGGAAGCTGTGGGCAAGTTTGTCTGCATCAAAAGGGCAGCAAAAAACAACTGGGGTTTCAGCAGGTGCTTCAGGGGCATCTGGTTACTCTTGTTAAATGTGTTGGTGTCAGACAGGGTACAGAAAGCATTTCATGCTACTCCTCTTCGACATCACAGTGTATTCCTGACAGCAGTATGGGTTTGTTTATTCTGTCTGCATAGAGTAGCAGGCAGAGGTAATCTCACAGTGAGGTATTTCCACCTCCTCATACTTATCCCTTCAAGTTTTCCAATGACAGCACACTTAGAGACCAGAAGGAATGAATAAATGCAAAAATCAGTTTGACACATCTGGAAAAAAACGTGTTTCTTTCCTGCAGTGCTGCAAACAGGTGGTAAATGCAGCTGTCTGAAAAACTTTATCTTATTTCCATGAAGAGCTTTGATTTATTTTTTTAAACCACTCCCAAAGTGACTTTTTTTTTAATTTTGAGGTGGTGCTGATTTGCGACAAATGACATTTAAAATGCAGACACCATTAAAAAAAAAAGAACAAAAAATCCATGCAAACCAGAATTAAGATGCGAATATCACACCATACCCTGACAGATACAGTCTTCTAGCAATAATTTTCAACATCTCCATTCGCTATTAAGCTGCAGAAATTAAGTCTTCACAGCTAGTGAGATTTTCATCCTTTATTTCAAGGTTACAGTATATTAAATGCACATGTATATTAAATGCACATGATTTTAATGGTAGAAAGAGGTGACTGTCCCATGTCACCCTATAGCCTGTCTTGGGGCTGGAGCTGTGTGAGGATCTCTGATTGGTGCTCATAACCATGAACTGTGGATTCATATTGGAATCACTTTTAAAATTCCTGCAACAATGCTTCCATATGGAGATAAATGACTTTAAATGCACCTTTAAGCACTTGTGGAAATTTTTAAGCTGAGAACTTGCATGAAGTTGTAATAGAGCATGAACTGAAATTTGAAAACTGTAGATTTTGGCTGCCTCTCAAGAAAGCATTTTATTTTCACTCTGCATTTAGAAATCTAAAATGAAAATATAAGTGAGATCGAAGGGTAACTGCTAAGTTGCATTGATCGTGGAAGTTATTTTACATGGTTGTGGGAATGCACAAGTTGCCACCATCTTTTCATGCACTTATTTATCAAAATCTTGCACAATAAGGTGGCTGTGGGTAGATACTAAGTCTGATGTACAAGACAACTGCTTACCTTGTGCTTGCAAGAAAACAAGCTGTAATGACCAGACTGTTTCACATAAATGTTGCCCTTACTTAGGTTTACAACTCCACTTTCAATTCTGCCTTCGTTCTCTCTTCCTTTGTCTGACCTTAATGACTCATTTAATTATTAAAATTGCCATTGTGAAGTCTTTCCTTCTGTGCTTGTCTGAAAAGGACCTTGCAAACCCACAGGGATGAATAAAGGACATTAGTGATTAATGCTTAATCAGTTACCTTGTAGTTCTTGGCCTTAGCATTGACTCTGTTGGCTTGTGCATATACCAGCCATGAACCTGGCATTGTAAAGTATTGCCTCTTAGGCTTCAGTTTGCTGTCACACATGGTGCCTGTAAAATAGCAGCATGTGAGGATGTTTGTTTTCAGCTACAGATGCAGACACTCAGCTTGCACTGTAACCTTTCTTTTCTGGAAGCTTTCAAACAGAATGTCCTTTACTCCTGTGTGTATGAATGTGTATCACGGAATGGCTGAATGGATTAATTCAGAGATGCAGGTAATCCTCCTACACTTGACTGTGTGCCCATCAGCCTCTGGTGTTTTGCCCTCA